CCGCTTCCCTGCCCAGGAGTGCTTCAAAGCCAACGGCATCACCGGCCGCCGCCTCATCCTCGCGAACTGCGCCAGCCTGCCCGCCACGGGCGTCACAGACTTCGGCCACATGCAGGTGCGGCCGGCTGCGGGTCCCGGAGCTCTCCTCAGCAAGGAGAGTTCAGTTCTGACCCTTTAAGCTTGAAGCAAGCTGGGCTATAGCTTGTCCGCCCGGGCATACTGCTTATTCCAAGAGTGAGCCTGAAACTGGACAACCAAATTTGTTCAGCCAAACAGTTACATTCCTTGAATCTTTTCAGGTATAAATCCTCAGCTGGCTGGAGGTTGCGAGCCTCCTCTCTGGGACACCATAAGTGCATCAGAAGTGCTTAGCCTTTCTTTAAGCCTAAGTTGTTCCTTTTGCCCCATGAAATTGCTCAGCAATATTCATGTGCCTTTCTTAGATATCCCTCAGAATTTCTTTTGAGTATTTTTACACGTACTGATTTATAGAACTTCTAAAAATCTAGTCAGATTTAACCTGCAGTGATTGAGCCACCCATCTCAAGCAGCAGAAGGGCAACTCCTTATTACTTCCTTCTTTTACACTTTGCTGAACAGAAATGGCATCTGTCTCTTCCTCATTTTACAAACATGTAATTGGTCATTTTCCTTTCAAACCTACATCTTTTATTTAACAAACACTCATAGTTAAGCTAACTAGACTGAAGTTCAGGGCTACAGTCTGGCCTTCCAAAGTTTCCTGAAGGTTCAGAAAGTAAGAAAGTTGACTTAAATTTCATTACCCTCCTTCCCCTCCCTAATGGAAACCACAGAGGGACTCAGGGTTGCATTTACAGAGCCTAATCGCTTGTTTTGCATCATGATTTAAAGCTGCTTTCCCCAGAGGACACAAGGTAGAAGTTCAAATAACCAGGAAGAGAGAAAAATCTTTATGCTCCAACGACTAGAGTATGAACACTGTTTGTTTTATTCTAGAGCACCAAAAAGCAATTTCACCATGGTTCTGTCTGGCTGCACAATATTAACTGTTTGTTTGAAACAAAATATGTCACCAAAAACATTGACTAGTGCCACGATGTTGCCTCTTGGTTGGAGGAGAAGGCATCAAACTACTTAGTTTTTCAGACAGCAGCCCTTCGAGAGTATTACTAGTACAACCAGATACAGCCTGTATAGTCATTTGCACTTACCAAAGATGGCAAGAATTCTATAGGCTTTGTGACCCTCACCCTCACATTGGGATATAGGGATTATGTATGGTGGTGGTAGCTTAACTGCTGAGGAACACTAAGCCACGGGTTTGAAATATTAACTCTAACCCATTCTTCCTCCTGTAAAACTGAAATTCCTCCAGGCTAGGATAAGCAATAGCCAGCATATTGCAGCAATCTTGGAAATGAGACTGTCTCTGTAATGTTTTCCAAAGCTTGCGAGTCAATTGGGAACATCTCACAGACTTCAGTGGAACCTAGATGTTCTTGAAGATCATGCCCTATCCTGCTAGTTATTTGTGTTTTAGAGAACTTTACTCTTATAGAATCCAAGTGTGCAGAGCTCTGAGAAGGATGTGGCCCTTTGGGTCTTTCAGGAAGCGTGTACTAGAGCAGGTGCAAAGTTAAGGCCATAATCCTGGGCACATCAGCTTCCCAACAAGAAATATCAGTGAAAGGCTATGAACAGTCGAAACTGAGATAGTTACTATAGAAATAAACATGATAGCATCAGCTCAGTGAGACAGAAACTTTTTGCAATTTAGGGAAATGGCTGTTTGGTAGAGAACTACACAGTGAACTATGTGGAAGCCATGTAGCATGGACAAGAGAAGTTACTGCTTGTTTTAATTCCACTGTACTGGTATTTTAAATATCAAAAAACACTGAAGATACTAGTCTGGTGTTCTTTTGAGATTGCACAAAGTAGGGTACTGCTCTTCAGAGTCAAGCCTAAGTTGGGGGAAGGTTTTGAGCAAATGCTGTGAAAGATCAGTAAAACCTTGTGAATTGTATTTCAAAGCTTCAGTCGAATCAGAAGGTTACATTCTCAAAGTGACTTCAAAAATAATGGCAAGGCTCTGTTCACTGGCAGTTCCAGGTCCAGCTGGCTCAGACAGCCAGTCACTCATCATTTTCTTCATGAGCAATGTGGCTTATTGGTTTAATTAGTTTTTGCACCTCTTCTGTGTATAGACTTTATTGTTGACAATATAACTTAGCAAACAGCAATGGTTTTTTGCATTAGTCAGAATAGACTCCAGCTCATTCACCCATTACTTGTTTTTCTGAAGTGCAAAGAGGAAAGCAGAGCTATTTGTGCCACTAAGAGACCAGACGTGATGCCATCCCCCACAGTAAATCTGGAGAATGAGCGGTCTGCTCTGCTCATGGGTTCAGATCCCTCCCGAATTGCAACTTCAAGTGTGAAACTGTTCCAAAAGTCAGAAATTCAGTTTTTTCCTGCTGCTCTGACACAGAATGAATGGTATTAGCTGTTGCCCTGTGAAATGAGAATTTCTGGTATTTTATCTTGTATTTCAGGAGATTTCACGACACGTGCGAGAGTTGCTGGGGATTGAGGAGCCTCTCTTCAACAGATCCATTGCCCTCCCCTACAGAGACAGCATGGGTTTCTTCCTGGAGCGAAAGTCCCGATCAGGAAAGAAAGCAGATGCCCTCACTTTCTCACAGTTTATCCAAGAAGCAGGACTGGAGCCCTATACGACAGTTCCTTCTTTGCGACGAGCCCAGACTGGGGTAGAAGCAGATGCTCTCCCTGTATCGCAGCACACCCAGAGGCAGGATTAGAGACTCACACTGCACTTCCACCTCTGTGAGCCCAGCAGGGACAGCAGAATACACCCTTATTACCTTGCAGTTTGCCCAGGAAGGTACAGTTCCACCTTCTCCAGATTATACAAAAAGCCATTGCAGCTCTTAGCCATTTGGTGACAGCAAAGACATCCCCACATTGGCTTTTTTCTGCAATCCTTCCTTTGCTTCCAGGAACTAAGTGAAGCAGAAGCTATAAATCAGACTGTACCACTGTCTGTCACTTCTGCTTCACAGTTGATTAAAAAGACCAAAACCCAACCGTAGACATATTTTAATTACCAGTGATTAGTAACAACTTCCCTGCAGCTCAAGCGAATAGGTTTCTCCCAGGCTTTAGTGTCCGCAGACTGGGCTCACTGTAAAGCCCAGATGTAAAATAACTGGTATACAGGTGTGGTGCTTGTTGCTGTCGGTGATCGTAATTAAGCAAGGGGCCTATTTACAACATGCACAACTAATCTCTGGCCTCACCCCAGAAATTATTTCCTGTGAGGCAAAACCAGGCAGTGGTTTATCATAGTAAACAGTACTGAAACATATGATAGATGATGGCAGGAAGTCTAAGAGAATATTGTAAGCTGAACTAGAGAATTTAGGGAATAAAAATTGCTTTGTCCTGGGTGGATTTGGACAGAATATCTAGTTACGTCCTTTTTTCTTGAAAGAAGTATGTAGTCTGTGGTGGTAGTGTGCATTATCACCAGAAAGGAAGTATGAGTAAGTGCTGATCAAAGCCTGGCTCAACAGAAAGATTGCTCCTGACTAAATGATTACTGTTTTGTCTAGCATCAATGGCTTCCTCGAGATCCCCCACGGAAAAGTAAAATTTAAAAAAAAATAAAAACCCCCAAACGATTAGGTACGATCCTACTTAGTTATTTATGCCAAAGCTGTAGCCACTGCAAAATAACTGTAATTTGGTGTTGTAATTCAGTTTTCTATTGAAACTGCAACAGAAACCCAGTGAAACTGAAGCAGTTCATAGGCCAAGATGACTATCTAATAACCAAATTCAGATCAAAATAAAGCACAACTGAGGCAGCCAGGGAGAAGCGAGTTTGCTGAGCTGTCTAGAGATTGAAACTTGTGTTTCAATGTGTACAAATGTGTACAGAGGATTATTGGCTGCAATATTTGAAACAGTCCATGAGCAAACAGTGCTGGTTCTTGCACCCCTCAGTCCTGTGAGGGGGCTTGGCTGAGATCTACTGTGCGCTTTGTTACAGTTTATGAGGATTTAGAATCATAGTCAGTAGTTTCCTCTGGAATTTCTCAGAAAATGTCGGAAGCAGCTGTCTAGAATGGAGACGACTTGTCCAGCGTCATGCCAGACTCTGCTACAGCTGAAGTAAGAGATGTCTTGGTGCTGATCAGCCCACGTTGCTTTGTAGATCTGTCTCCAAAGGATGCCTGGTATAGTAGAGCAAGATGGCACTGGACAAGCTCACTCTTTTCTAGCAGCTGACTAAAGGGAGACTCTCTAGTTGTGCAGCTGTCAGGTCAAACAAAGGGAAGGTTCTCAGAAGAGAAAACAAGTGGAAATGTTTACGGGCAATAACAGTCTGAAGCAGCTTGCTAATAATTTAACAAATAATGGCTTTCTTCAGTCTCTAACTACAAATCTCTTTCTTGGATCTTTGAGAAACAATCAGGCTTAGAGACTTGAATCTAAAGTGTTCCAGGCATTACTCTGCCATGCAGAGCAAAACTGAGCCTAATGGCTCTAGAACAATCCTACAGAAGCAGAAGTCCTTCCCTTCAGCAGTGTTCCCCTGACTTAACATCCTCAATAGCCTGGTCCTTGAACTACCATAAGTCATTACCCATAAGAACTGTCCTCTCTAGATATTCCCACAGGAATATTTTTTTCTGGATCCAATGTCCCAGTCCGGATCAGTGGCTTCAGACAACTCTGATAAGTAGCCAAACAGGAACCAGGGATGAAATAACTCAGGAATAATAGTCCAGGTCTTGTATTGCTAATACATCATCTACAGCAAGTACGTGGTCCTAAGGGCAACGCATAGTTCAGCACCTTCCAACCCAACAGGACAGCCCACGCTTCAACTGTGGGATGAGGCAAGTTTCAGAGCAAAGAGGAAGCCTGGACAAGCAGTACCTCACCATTCCACCCTTTCCTTACTCCTCTTGAGTCACTGAAGAGACAAAACCTTTGCTGACAAAACTCTTGCACACAAACTGTGGGCAGGAAGTTTTCTGCTCTGCACAGAGGGGCAGCGTTCAGGAAACCAGGTCACTGAGTAATTTTGGTGCCTTCTGGTGAGGCTCTGCTATGTGCTGCTGTTCAGGACTGCATAGAAAATGGCCACCAGCCATTCAGCGTTGACTCTTATTTTCCCTGCAGGACAAACAAAATCAAATGTCAATTACTAGTGTGCACACAGGTGTGAAGGGATATTCTCATCTCCTCCTCCTGTGAAGAAATGCATCAGCAATCAATCAGAGGTGGTTTATTTGAAACCTCTGATCTAGGATCGTTTTAGGTGAGGGATGCTGAAATTAATAGTAACAAGTCTAATATAGCTTCTATTTTTTGTAGCTCGTTCTCATCGAGTAAACAGCAGTCCTTTACAGGCTGCGTATGAAGTCATACAACCATTCAGCCATCATGGCGTGATGAGCACTGTAGCTGCTTTAAGAGCGTTCAGCAACGCCAGAATCAGAAGCGCACAGAGAAGCGTACACTGAAATTGCAACGGGCAGAGGTAGCGGCCGGCAACAGGAACAGCCTTGAATCATACAGGCGGGGGGAACCACCCAGTTCAACTCCTGAGAAGAACTGCTACCAAGTTTAAACAAAAAGAGGGTTTTGACCTCGGGAGCTGCAGGGACACGGTGCCTGCACAGCAGCAGGGTCTGGCACCCCCGCTGGGCCCCTTCCCCCCCCTGCCCCGTCGATAGCTCCGGGGCAGAGCGCTGGTACTGCGGCCTCACGGTGGCACTGCAGCAAAGGAGTTGCTGCAACCTGGCAGCGGAGGCAGCCGACATGAGCGTAGCGGGAGAGGAAGAGGATGCTCCTGCCGAGCCCGGGCAGCGCAGCGGCGGAGCGGGTGCCCGGAGCCGGCGTGGGCGAACAGCACGGGTGGGATCGTGGGGTTTTAAGGTCCTGCGTGAGGGAAACTCGGAGGAAGCCGCAGGCAATATCCCACTGCACCATCCGTGGCTGAGTCAACAGTTGCTGGGATTCAGCCCATTAACGTTTGTTATAACGACTCCTTTCCAGTAGCCATCTTAAAAACAGCTAGAAAGGTTCTTCCTCTTTGATGAACCCTCATTTCCTTGTGTGAAAGTTAATCCACGGGCCTTAACACTGCCAATGGAGAGATGGCCACAGTAGGATTGTTAATTTTTCTGTATAGTGGTCTGTTAAAAAAAAAGGAGGGGAGGGGTGTGTGTGTAAAATTCATCCCTTGCACTTTCTCCCCCAGTGCACATAGGTCATATCACAACTGCAGTGGCACGGGAACGTGTTGAGGTCCAGATCTCTCCCCACTACAGGTGGATTCCCTCAAGCAAGGTCTCTCCTCTCCCTCTCCTCTTCCAGGTTTAGCTGATGGGGGAGAAACTAGGTTTAGCTGGTCCCTCACTGGTCACCTCAGCAGAAGGGCAGGACTGACCTGACTGCAGGAGCTGGGCACCCCCAGGGGTCAGGAGCAGGGGTACAGTTTATACCCCTGCATTCAGAGCCCTGGGGAGAGCTAAGGCAGCAGCTTAAAGTGAAACACGATGCACCAGGTTTGCTTTTTTTTGACCGTGCAGACTGCAGGCTTGCTTCTTTGCACCTTGTTTCCTTCACAACAGGTTATCTTGCAGCGATAATCTGAGGCCCTGGCAGGAGCAGGGTTTCAGTGCCAACATTATGTTTGATCTGGAGCTCCCCTGACTCCTTTTGATCATGTTTTCAGGTTTATAGGCACAAAGTCTACAACTTCCTCTAGACAAACAGAAAGCTGAAACTCTAAAGTGTTCCTGTGACTCCAGCAGTTGGGGACTTGGGGAAGTGACAAAGTTTGCAATGACATTTCACAATAGAATTGTGAGAGGCAATAAGAGCTGAGCTCCTGCACAGCTCCGGCTCGGCCAGAGCATGCACACTGTGCTTGCCCCATGAGGTCCCAACTGATGGCAACACATCCAGGCTCTGAAATGACGTGGTCTGTTTTACCTGAGAAGAGGGATGGCAGTGATGAGGCTGTACACAATGCAGGGTTTCTGGATGGCAGGCCGAACGACAGAGCAGATGGACGACATGTGCGAGGGGAAGGCAGCAGAGGAACACGATGTCCACCCAGGCCACCAGCTGATTGTTGTTGTAAAAGCACGCGAGTCCCTGCTTCTGCAGGGCTGCTGCGATAAGCAAGGAGAAAGGGACACGAGAGCCCACAGAACCAGCACAGGTGACCGACCACCACCTCTGGGCACTGGCAGCACTGTTACCTCTGCTCTGCCACATGCAGGTGAAATACAAACCAAGGCTCCCAGACTGGGACTAAGTGGCATGGAGGGACTTTGCCTGCTGCCCATCACCGTTCCTACATGGCAAAGGGCAGCAGCAGAGTGACACAGAGCAGGCAGCTTCCTCACCAGGAATAAAGATGCAGAGAGCTCAGCTGCCTCAGTTGCCTGGCCCCAGTTCACGCAGGCTGATTTAAAGCCTTTAGCTGAAACAGCCGAGCCTTGGGATCTGGCTCGTTTTCAAGATCTATAAAAAGCCTTTTAATAATTCCTGCTTCCTCTCTGCCCTGAGATGATTAGAAAGAGGATTTTATTGTTCCAGGCATCTCCCTGGAGGACTGTTCTCCCCACTTGTCTTGTTTTATATAAGAGTTTACAGGGCAATTGACAGTTTGTATGCAAACAGTTGCTGTAATACTGCAGGCTGATCTCTCCTGGCTGGGTGTTCAGAGCCCAGCGAGAAGCTTGTCTGCTACAACTGACCCTGCAGCCATGAAACAAGATGAGGGACATCTCTGTTTCAGCACTGCCACTTGTTTGGGGAGATGGTTTCTCTGCTGGGTGAATATTTAACAGCCTGGAGTTTCAGTCACCAACCAGGCTCTTGGCAAATGATGATGAGAAGTTTGAAGAGCCATAAAAATGGGGGGCGGGAACTAAACTACTAACTAACTACTGAAAACTAAAACGGGCCTTAAACTAGCCAGCGTTCAAAGAACAGGGTTAGTGTCTCCACCACACTCAGATAGTACTGGGAAAAAAACCGAACAACTAACTAACTAACTAAAACTAAATAAAGCAACTATGTTAAAGGAGTAGCTGTGGCCCGTGCAATCACACGCCATTCATGGTGTCACACACACACTTGTTCTTGGGCGCGCTTCCTCCTTCTTCAGCCTCGACCCTAGGTTTCCCGCAGCAGAGTCTCAGGCGTTGGATTTTGTAAAATAATTAATTTAATTGAAAGCTGCAGCAGCAGGATCAGCCCGGGCTGGGTGCCTCCAAAGAGAGGCACCCAGAACAAAGAAATCCCAGGGCAATTATACCCCTGGGTCCCACACACCCGCCCTTCACGCGCTGTCCGTGCATCCTTTAGTCCGATGGTGATTTTTAGTCTGGAGTCTTCTAACACCTCATTGGATTCTTCTTCTGTGTCCAGGCAGGCAGGCTCTTATCTTGTTGACTTGCAGTTTCTGCAGTTTTCCCCAAAGGTTGGAGCCTCCTTATCTTAGGCTTCAGCAAATGTAGCCACTCTCGCTAAGTAAAGCTAAGCAAAAAGCACAAATCACACTCTATTATATTCCAAAGTAGTTTATTCTAATTAAAACCTACTTATTTATGTTAAACAACTAATATCCCTCGACAGCTCCTCCCTTTGTTTTCATTGACTGTCCCTGCTATCATGCTAAGTAAAGTTCACAAATTCTTTCAAGTTGCCTGATCATTCTTCCACTTTTACGTACAACACACAAGTACATTACGGCCAAACTTAATAAGATTACTGTAGGATGTAGCATATGGTTGCAAATTCCTGTTGCTGTGGGTGACCATCCAAAAAGGGTTTCCCACCATCTATGCTCTCCATCCCTTTTTACCATTTCAAGAACATGGTGAATTTCTTCTGCGTTGTGGTGTACAGTGACTAGAACCCTTTGTCCATCATCTTTCACACAGGTTAATACTCGCTGTAACTTGTCATGCTGTAGTAGTTTTTGTACCAGTGTTAAATTCATACCTATGGGAGTGGGCAGCAAATTTTGGTATAATGTATAGTTAGACGAGCAATTGGTGCGATGTGATAGGAGCTGAATAATTAAAGTCATACCCCATAATTTTGGTAAAGTTGCAAATACAGGTATTTGAGTGACTACTTACATTTACTATAACATTATCTACAAATATAGTGCTACAAAGTGTTCTCATAAAGGCACAACCCTTACCAGTATATACAACTACAGTTTCAGGGTTTTCATTGAGACTTATCTCAAAATGGCAGATTTTTTGTTCAATGTCAAGGCAAATGTCTTGGGCTTTGATGGTGTTACTTTCACAAACATATCCTCATTGGTCTTGTGCAACACATGCACCTCTGTCAATAGTTTGCCATTTATTCCCAACTTTTCGGGCCCATTCTCTGTGTTCTAATGGATAGAATACAGTTCTGTCACGATTTACTCCTAATGCAATAGTTGGGTATATGCTGTACACTGAAGCATTGCATATTGTTAAGACAAAAGCAGTGGCCCTGTTGTTAAAGGGGTCATGAGTAAAGCTGACCCAATACCACCAGGCTTGGAAATCCTTTCTGAATTTAGTTGCATTATTCCAAATTACTTTTCAAATCTCTCTAGGTAAAATGCCCTCTTCACCTTCCCTTATAATTGCTGCTATTTAGACTGCATCCACAGTTGAGCTTGGATACAGCTAGGAGCTAGGGAAACATTGCCCTGGACTGCTTTAAGAGCTTTTACAATCAACTGGTGATCTTTTTCATTACTTTTTTCCCACTGAGGTAGTATATCAGACATAAGTTGTTGGTTAGATCCTAATGCTAATAAAGAGGAATGCAGTGGATGTTCTGATTTGCCCAAGTCATTTGCAATTGCATTTAGTTTGTTAACAAGCACTTCAGCATCTATGCTATTCAAGACTCCCAATCCTGTCCCTATGATACCAGTTGCATCTCTTTTTGTTCGCCTTGGAATGGTAAAGGTTCGCTCATGTAACCATGCTGACCAACCCGCATAGGATGTGCCTAGGAATGGTGAGCAGGTTGGTTCAATTGTAGAAATATTGATCTGTATTATCAGTTCTGCTTCTTTCAGTGACCATGAGGGATTAAATATCACTTGTTGTTGCCCTGTATGTTTAATGGTGTAAGGTCCAATTTCAGATAGTTGTGGGATCAACTCCTCTTTTATGAGTGGAGTTGATGTTGGGTTCATTGTGGTGGGTACCAGGACTGTTGCTGGTTTAGAATCAATTCTTTCATAGGATACATTCATTTCTACATGGCCGATTTCACCATCAGCCACCACACAGCACCTGTAAGGAAGGGTTAAATAGCAACTGGTGTCATTGGGGCATTGCGATTTAATTCTTTTGAATATCTCTGCTACTGTTAGATCTTTTGCCTTATCTGATTCACAACAAAAAGCAAAAGTCTCAAATTTTTTGCGAATTGAGAATCCAGGTCCTTCATACTTTAAGTGGATTTTTTCTTTTTCTATTTTATCACCATTCCACCACTCTGGATCATCCATTCTTTTTAATTTTGTACTTAGCCATGCTGTAACAGTCATCAGAGTCAGCAGTACCAGGAGCAGCAAAATATTCCACTTCATTCTTCGTTGACTTTCAAGTAGCTGTCGTCTGTCATCTGGCCTGGCTTTCCATTACTCACTTGACGTGAGAATGGTGTATCCACTTTTCTTTCTTTCCCTAGAACTGTATTTCAGGAGATGTGGGCTGGTACCATTGGGCATATTTCCTTTTGTCTTCAAATACCTTTAGCATATAAAAGATGTACTGGGTCAACCGTTCACCTCCGTCCAATAGGCTGGTCTTAGCTGGAATGTAAGTTCTTGGTATAGCTAAGTGTCTCCCAAAAAGAATCTCTGCTAGTGTTAGTCCTATGGGTTGTCATGGAGTGTTTCCAACATCCCATAGGACTAAGTTTAATGCTTCTGGTGATTTTAAGCTGGTGTGTGCACATACTTTTGCTATTCTTTCTTTCAGTGTTCAGTTCATCCTTTCTACTTGTTCTGAAGACTGCGGGTCATAAGGAGTGTGTAGGTTTCTTTCTGTTCCTAGTGATTTGTACAGTTGATTGATTATACTTGCTGTAAAATGAGCACCCCTATCTGACTCAATTGATTCTGGAACCCCATACCTTGGTAGAATTTCTTTAAACAACACTTCTATTACTCCCCGCCGTGTCAGCCTTTCTTGTTGGGAAGGCTTCCACCCAGCCCAACAGTTGATCTACTATTACAAGTAAATGTTTGTAGCCGTAAGCAGAGGACGTATCTACGTAATCTACTTGTAATTGCTGAAAAGGGAAGTAGGCCCGCGGTTGGCCTCTTATCTCTTAGCTCGGTCTGATGCTCAAGAACTTTTGGCAAGTCGGGCAGCTACTGGTGATTCTTTTTGCAGCAGTATAAATTCCTGGTGCTGTCCATGCTTTCTGTACTTGATTAGCTATCACCTCCGCTCTCCCATGGGTTTTATCATGAAACCATCTAGCCACAGTAATTACATATTTCTTTGGTAGCATTGGTTGTAGCATTGGTTTTCCTCCAATTGTCCATATTCCATCATCATCTTGGCTTGCTTCCCATTTTTTCCATTGTTTCTTTTCTTCCACTGAACAGTCTTTTTCATACATAGTTTTGGCGTCTGTTAAATTAGGCCATCTGCCTTGGCCTAATGCTGGAATTACAACCAGGCATTCTCTCAGGGGTTGTCGGGCTGCAGCTTTCGCAGCTGCATCAGCTAAGTCATTCCCCTTACTAATTTCTGTGGCGCTCTTGGTATGGGCTGGGCAGTGTATAATAGCAAGTTCTGTAGGTAGCTGGATTGATTTCAGTAAGTCATGTGTCTCTTCTCCATTAGCTACTTTTTTCCCTGATGATGTAATAAATCCTCGTTCTTTCCACAACATCCTGGTTGCATGACATACCCCAAAGGCATGTCGAGAATCTGTATAAATATTAATTTGTTTACCTTTTCCCAGGCGTGCTACACGTGTTAAAGCTACAAGCTCTGCTCCTTGAGCACTCGTTGCTGGGAGGGCTTCAGCTTCTATTACCTGCCCTTGGCTGACCACAGTCAAGTATCCAGTCCGACGTTGTCCATGCAGGTAGTAGGATGAGCCATCTACGAACAGAGTTAGGCCTGGATTCTGCAAAGGAACATCCATTAAATCCGCCCATGGTGTGCTTGAAACATTCATCACCTGCTGACGCTGGCGATGTTTTTCCCCATTGTCAGGCAGGGGTATTAGGGTTGCTGGATTCAAAGTATTACATCTTTTCAAAATTACCATTAGAAGGATCAGTTCGTATCTGTGTGCTCGTTGTGGTGATAAAGCTTGGGTCACATGCTGTTTCAACAGTATTTCCACTTCGTGTGGGACATAAACTGTTACAGGGTGTCCCATTAGGAGGGGGGCAATGTCTTTCTAATATTGCGGCTGCTGCTGCCACGGGTTTAATGCAGGCTGGTGCTTCTGCTGCAACTGGATCTAGTTGCACGGAGTGGTATGCAACTGGTCTCTGGTGGGGTCCTAATTTCTGTGTTATTACTCCACTGGCTATTCCTTTCCATTCACATGCATATAAATTGAAAGGCTTTCCATAAGCCAGGAGCCCTAGAGCAGGAGCTGATGCCAAGGCTCCTTTTATTGCTTGAAAAGCTTGCTCTCTTTCCGGACCCCACACAATAGGTTCTCCCTCCTCATTTCTTGTTGCTTCTGTCAGAGGCTTTGTTAATTCTCCTAACCCAGGAATCCATGGCTGACAAAATCCCACAGCCCCAAGAAATCCTCACAACTGTTTCTTTGTGACTGGACGTGGAAGCTTTATTATTGCCTCTACCCTTTCTGGATCTATTACTTGTTGCCCTTCCCTTAGGATGAACCCTAGATACTTGACTTCTTTCTGACACAGCTGAAGTTTGGACGGAGATGCACGATAGCCTTTCTCTGCTAAGATGATACATAGATGTATAGTATCTTTTATATAAGCGTCTTTATCTTTGCTCGCTATCAGCAAATCATCTACATGTTGTACAAGAGTTGATTCGCCCAGTAGTTCTACATCTTTCACATCATTTCTCAGTATTTGAGAAAACATTGTGGGTGATCCTGCAAACCCTTGCAGGAGATGCATCCAGGTTAATTGTTGTCCTTTCCATATGAAGGCAAATAAAAGCTGGCTGTCTTCATCTGAAGGGATACTAAAGGCAGCGGCAGTTAAATCAATCACAGTGAAGTATTTTGCCCCATGTGGTATTTGCAAAAGTATAGTAGAGGGGTTGGGGACTACTGGATGAGGAGTCACGACATGCTGATTAATTACCCATACATCTTGTACAAAACAGTATTCTGGATCCCCATCTTCATCCAATCAATTCTTTTTTACAGGGAGTATAGGAGTATTATATGGTGACATATATACTTCTAAAATTCCTTGAGCTACATACAGGCCTATTTGCTTTTGAATGCTTTTTTCAGCCTCTTGGGTGATAGGATACTGTTTCACAGCTGGAGGAGGGCTTTCTCCCTTTGTTTTTATGTTTACAGGTTGAGCCAAAACTAGTAATCCTACATCCATGCTAGTTTTATTCCACAGCTTTGTTGGTACAGATTTTAATATTTCCAGTATTTTTAGCTCATTATTTGGGCTCCCAGTGACCACAGCCACTCCCATGATTATTAAATCCATTCCTTCAGGTGACAAGTGTAATTCTACATCCAGCGCCTGCAAAAGATCTCTCCCCAGCTGGCACACTGGGGAGTCCTCCACTAATACAAATTGCGCCCATATACTCTTGTTCCCTATAGTTATTAATAGGGGTTTATTTAAATTCTGCTCTTTCTGTCCTGTGACTCCATGTATTAAAATTTTGTCTGTGGTCCTAGATCCTTTCAGAGTAAAATTCAAAAGGGATAACTTAGCTCCTGTGTCTACCAAGAATTCAACTTCACAACCTTCAACTTCATCTATAATGTGTCCCTGTTGGTCCAGTTGGGTTACCCACATATTGAAAATTTCCAATTCTTCTAATTTTTCTAGGCCATCCCCACCTCACCCCCC